TCGGGGAGGGAGGCCCGGTGTTGGGACCCTCCGATACCAGGCCCACCCTCTGCCCGGCTGACAGCAAGGACGGGGGTGCCCGCCAGTACGGGCTGACCTGCCCCCCAAATCTGTAGGTGAAGCCCTGGCCCCCGCTCCTCAGACTGTGACGGGATTTGGAGGCGGAGTCTTTAAGGAGAAGATTCAGTTAAAACGAGGCCGTAGGTGCCGGCTCCAGCCCCAGCCCTGGTCGGGGCGTGCAGGAGGCACATGGATGTGTCTCTACGTCGCTGTCTCTCCCCCTCCCTTCCACTCTCTCTAAAAATCAGTGGGGAAATGTCCTCGGGTGAGGATGAGCAAAACAAATAAATGAGGGGGTCAGGGTGGGCGGGCCTAACGCCACGTGACTGGCGTCTGTGGGAGGGAAGGACAGCAGGACAACTGGGGGGGGGCCTGGAGACATCACCCCCGCCACGCGACACTCAGAGCCGAGAGGACAAGTCCCGCGGAGCCTGGAGGCCGCGGCCCTTCGCAGGGGCAGCCCTGGCCCCGAGCACCACTTCTCATCGCTACTGAGAACCTGCGGCCTCGCCCAGCCTCCGCGTCTCCCCAGCTGTCTCCCGAGCCGACGAGGGGACAGGGGCCCAGCAGCGCCCGCTCACCCGCTGCTGTTCTTCCAGGTGGGGCTCCCCGCCAGCAGCAGCGTCCTGTTGTCCAGGGGGACGGCGTGGAGCGAGTAGCCCAGCCACGCGTAGTCCTCCTCGCCCCTCACCCGCCAGTCGGCAGCCTCCACATTCAGCTTGTCTGCGCAAGACAGGCAGCCCAGGCTTTACCCGGGAGGCCGGGAGGGAGGGAGGCCTGGAGGGAGGCCGGGTTCAGCTTGTCTGCGCAAGACAGGCAGCCCCGGCTTTACCCGGGAGGCCGGGAGGGAGGGAGGCCGGGAGGGAGGCTGGGAGGGAGAGAGGCCTGGAGGGAGGCCGGGAGGGAGGGAGGCTGGGAGGGAGGGAGGCCTGGAGGGAGGCCGGGAGGGAGGAGGACAGGCGGCCCTCTGTAGGTAATGGCGGACGGGTTCTCCCCAGAGCTCTCGGACACCCCCACCCCTGTCCCAGGCCCCAACATTAGATGGACTCGCAGGTCCCACAGGAAGTGCTTCTCAGGTGCCCGTGGTGTCCCTGCTCTGTCACTGGGAGACTCAGGCTAAGCCACTGGCCCCCGGACCTGGGCCCAGAGGCCAGGCTCCCTGTCCTCGGGGGCACCGCGTACCCTCCCCAGAGCGCCTGTAAGGGGGCGGCTGCGGGGCTGACG